TCGAACATATCAACGTCACAATCAACAATAATAACATCAGCAAAACAAAAAAATCTTTGTAAGCCTAATGACTCAATCAACAAGAGCGGAATAAGCAACGCTATCTGTCAAGATCTAAGCCAAACCTTCGGGTTCTGTTGAAACGCTGCCACCATTGCAAAGTATTGCAGAGGCAATTATTCGTGGTGATCAAGCTAGCGTCTGACATGCATTGATAAAGAAAGAGACGGATTCAACTTTCATTGAAGAATTTCGACACTCAGATCGATTGTCAACAATAAGGAATCTCTTCGAACAGTTTCGCTAGGTTTTTTGCTCCTCACATCAGTATTTATTTATTCAAGTCAATGCTCTCCCTTGATTGTTTTCCACCTGTGCTTGTCATTCATGTTGCTTTCCTATTGATTATTATGTTTTATTCTCTTTGTTATTCTTTCTACCTCTCTTAGTATTTTTGTGGGTTCATTTTCTTTCACACTTTTATTCTGTCCTTTGGTTAAGTCTTCACGCTTTAATTGTTTCATTGTAGTCTATTTGAAAGCACATGAATACATATTGGTGCTTTTATTGTGGCACACTAGGAGCAGATGTCTTCTTTTGAGCAGCAATCATGTCTTTTAAGAGACGATCGCGAACGATGTTCGCTTCCGTCCATCGACCGAGCCAATCCTTTTTGCGACGAAACGAATGCGGATGTCGTTGTTGTTCCAAGGCCACCATTTCGAAATGCTGTTTGAATATATGAGCATTGTGCACGATTTTCGTATGGCTACCACGCAATACAGGATAGCCGAAGCAGATGCTGCTACGTAAATGACTGCTGATTGTTAGATAGTCAGGATTCGGATTCGCAGTAGTGTCAACACTTGTTTTCGATTGTGGACGAGATCGTGGCACGAATTTGAGGTCAACATAGCGTGGTTCATCTTTGTCTCGATCGATGATCGACGAATTTGATTGATGTCCAAGATTTTCTTGCAACTGAGATTTGTTCACATCAGTGTGATGGATACAGCCGTCTTTGATTGAATTTTTCTCCGAAGCCATTCGATGACTGGTGATTGTCAAGAAAGAAAATGAGAAAATGCCAAACACAATGTTGGTGGCTGTAATGTAACTCAGCCATTGTTCACGTTATTGACATTGACAATACACTTGACTCTTCAAGTTTATTGTAACGATAGAGGGTGCTGATAGTATATTTTGTGTATTCTTTCACATTTTAAGTTGATTAAATGATGTTTTCTTCTTAACTCTTGATTCTTATTCAAGCATGAATTGGAACTAATGTGCATTAATGAACGATCTTCTTAGTTTCAGTTGATGTTTATCGATTCTATTGATTTGATGAGTGTCGATGTATAAATTTGAATCTGCTAGAGTAACGTGACGAATCAGAATGACGGAATGTAAATCGGCTTCGACAAACAAAACATCGATCCCCTTCTGTTCTGTCAACTAAATATCAGCAGAAGAATGAAGAAAAGCGTTGATAAGCGAGATATTGTTGCCATCAGACTAAGTCATACAACAAGAGATCTCGATCAGAATACCCTCGAATATCACTATGTGGCTTCTTCTCTTCGTACTATTGTGCTCTTTAGGCAATACGTAATTGATCAGACAGTTACTTTTTAAGAACGTATGTTTGTATAGAGACAAATTAATTTGACAGGAGAAATTCATAGCGTAGATGAAGGAGTGGCTGAAGTAGAACAATCATGATAAATTCATGGGCGACAGCTAAAGTTAGTAGCTAGATATCTGAGCAACACAAGATGTGATGAGCGTCAAACAATTTTGACGAGAGCCACCAAGTTAATATTCAAATGAATAGCCTGAATTCAGCATAGCGCTTTGTCTTTAGATATCATAAATTTGCAATGGGCAAAATCAAGACAGTCTACTTACCCGTTCTTCATCGTTTTTGATAATCAGTAGTACATCACGAACATTGACCACAACTCGACGTCGTACTACAGATGGCCCTCTGCATTCCGATACATTAAGTGCAGGTGACATTGTTAGTATCATCATTGCCGTTGTTATACTCATTGGTTGCCTATCGATTAGTGCAAATTATATGCGCCATCGTCGACTCATGCATTACTTTTACACCAACCAATACGAAACGATCTAAATTTTCTCGATCGGTTTAAGATTGAATGTACTTTTCTTGTTTTGGTAGTTTTAATTTTGACTGTAAAATTTATTTCTTTGATATTTACATCGATTATACAACCATAGATACTTCAATATTTCTACAGTTCCTATCCTACGACAATCATTAATTAATATTCATAAATGTACACAACAATTGACGCTGATCTGCATTAATATTAAAATTTTGCCACTTCATTGAAAAAAAAACAAAACGACTATTTTTCGATTCAACGTGTTCTTGTTGAGTAATCGGTCCTTGCGTAAAACATTGTCGTGGTTCAATGTATTATATCTAAAGGTTTGCAATGAGATTCGATCACAATGTTTATTCATTGATTATTAAGAGGCTTTGGGTGTGACTGCGGATGCAGTTCATGAGAAGACCCTTACCCCCAAAAATCCACACCTTCTAGCACCCCACGATTCTTTTCTATGAAACTAGAATATCTGCATCGCATATTCTGAAAGATGGAGTTCATGCTGCCAGATCAAAACGCATTTGAAGTTTTACTATGTTTATGCTACCAGAGACGCAATATTATTGAATCTATATATGAATCATGAGATCTTACCTCTTTTTCAGTTACCTGTAAAGAAAACTGAAAAAAAAACTAACAGGCATCTCAATTTTTTCTAACAAGTGAAAAAAATATAGAGTATTGTTGTTTGAATTTCATGCAATAATCATAGTACCAAAAATACATGAATAGAAAAAAGAAAGAAAAACGTCGGCAGCCTATACGTTGACGAACACTAACCGAACGAAAAAATACATTGATGCAAGGCACATTATAATACACCTTGAAAGTGTTTTATTTTAATTGGGTGTCAGACAGGAGTCGTTGAAAAAAAGGATTTTATTATGAATCATATGTAGCTGATAAAAATAGTACAGAAGGATCAGTAATAAAAGAATGATAAAAAATGCATATCTAGAAAAATTCGATCAGTATTTGAAACATTTTAAAGTTAATTCTTATGAGGTCGCACTCTCGATTGAGGTGCGAATGAGTGCGTTAGCATTGGTTAATTTAACTAACAAGAATAAAACTCAATATTTGAGAAAACATTACATGATTTCGACATGATTCTACTGAGAGAAATGTTGTTCGCATCGAGATCTGCATCATCTGCCTAGATAATTTGAAGAATATAAGTTAAATCTTAAACATACATTGAAAATCAGACGTCGTTAGAAAATAAAAGATTTTTGTTATACATAGTTAAGCCATTTGAAGCTATAACCGATTTGAAGAAAATGAATAAAGCTTTAGCTAAGTTTTGTTTATGAGTAAACTTGATTATTCTTGTGACAGATGGAACTTCTATATAAAATTAGTTCATTTTTGCTGTAATTTTCTCAAAACTTTTGTGCTAAAGATTTGAAGATAACACTTTTGAGTTTCCAACATCATCATTTTGTTGATTGTCCAACAAAATCTGACTGTGGGTGTGGGTTCTCTCGTTGCCTACATTCACACCCACACTTCGGAATCAAAATTCAATCGGCAATATACGTTCGATAATAAAAAATCGAATAAGTGGTTAAAACATTAGAAAAATCTTTGGGCTGCAACAAGAAATCCAAAAAGCATGAAACAAATTGTCGACTGACTTGGTCTTCAAATTAGTTGATTGTATAGAAAATACGTAAAGAATAGTCTATTAAAGCAAATGATGACTGCACATCGTATTAGAATAAATTATTTATGCCTACCATGTAATCAAAAACAAATTCGATAAAAACAATGCAGTATATAAAAAAAGAAAGATGGATTGGGAAAGACTTTTGTCCAGTACCAAATGAGAGCAAAGTTGTATGCTTTTATCGATATTCATCTCTTCACTGTGTCTTTGTCATAAATCATGTCATTACTATAAAGTTGAGTATATATAAACAGCTAACAACGACGAAGCCTGTACGTTCGTATTGCAGTGATGCTACATCTCAATCTTTTGTTATATTTTCAGATTTTCAGCCCAAGTGTAGAGAATTTTGAAGACGAATTGACCAGTAGTTTCCTACTACGAAATGATGCCAAACATTATTCAATGACCGAATGTACTTTACTCGAATTGGCTTCGGATTATATGAAGCTAGCTTACGGCGTAACCTCTGTTGACAATAATGTTACATATGGTCAATGTTCAGCAAGGTCTATTTACAAAGTTATCAATGTATAATTAGATAAGCTCAAAATTAACAAAGAACGTTTGTACTCGGCGATTGAAGCTGTTGCTAAATTGAATAGGAAACGAGATCTTGTAGAAGCATTAAAGAAAGCAACCCATTTTTACAATGAAATATTTGATGGAGGTGCGATGCTACTCTTGTAAAGTTTAGATGCAGCCATATCAAGTATTCACATGAAAGATTATCAAAAAGCAAGAGAATCATTGGATACTTTGCTACATACAGTCCAAGATTTCTACGGTCATTTGAATTGGATACAAAGTGGTCCTACAGAACCAAATAAGGGTATTGGTAAATATGAAATATTGAGAAAATATGCATCGACAGATATGCAAATGTGTGTCAACTGTCAAAACGATGTGTGTTGTACAAACATCGAGCCATCAATTCTCATAGATAATATTTTGACTAGTGTCTATTTTAATTTGAGAATCATCGGTGACATATTAGACAAAGAACCAAAACCTGTGGGAAAGTGTAGTCACAGTGGATTGTTAGATTCTACATTTGACACAGATGCTCAAGGTGGTGGTATCAACAAGAATACACGCAAATCAGAAGATTGAAAATAATCTTATTCGTGCAATTGCTTGGCTTGTTTGACAATCTACGAAATCTGACAGGAAATAGTTTGATTATTGTTATGGATACTACTGGTAGTATGGGGCCACATATTTACATGGCCAAAGAAATAGCTATTGGTATTGTTAATGCTCATCAATCATTGGAATATAAACTGAGCAGTTATATTTTATCACCTTTTAACGATCCAACAAATGGATTACTTACGATCAGTCTTCATCCTTTAAATTTCACAAACAAAATAAATAAACTGATACCTTACGATGGTGGCGATACACCGAAACTATATTACCATAGGATTCTTGATGCACTCAAAGCTGTGAAGTAGGATCCTTTTTCTATGCCTTTACAGATGCACCTGCAAAAGTTGCCTACTTAAAAAATCAAGCAGTGCAATTAGCGAATGAGGAGTGTATCACTATCACTTTATGCTATGTTCAAAGTTTTCGCAAACAACAGTTGGGCCAGTCAAAGATGAAAGTAGACGACGTCATTGAAGATTTGCCCATCAGGGATGGTAATGATTTGTCATTGATTACTGGAGGTGGTATTATGGATGGTGATCCAGAATCACTAAATACCATACAAGATTGCATTGTTAGTCGTCTTGACATCAGTAAACTAAAAATCATCGTTCTTACTAGAAGATCGGATACGAATCATCAGGTGAAATTCTTTCATCAAGACCATTCTCTCAAACACATTATGTTTGTATATATACAGCACCGATAGAACGTACCGATGTAGGATAATGGATGATTTTATCTCGTATGAATATCGAACATAATGTCCAAGGAAATGCTATCAGTGAAATCTCATGTTCATCGACATTACAGAAACGAATAATAAACTCGACATCCGATGTTAGTTTCGCATCAATAAAGAATCAACCGTTTCAAGGCGAAACCGATCTATTTGTTTTGACAATGTGTGATAGTTAACCGTCAGATATTACCGATGGTTATTTGTATCTTATCGACGCCAATAAGGAATCGAACATACTACAAACATTAACACCAATTGAAATTTCACCAACAGATTTTCTATCACCAATCGATGTACCAAATGCTGATTTTCTTCTTAGTGCTATTGCTTTATTACGAGATGGTTCTAGAATTCAACGTAAAAAAAAACGACTCATATCACCAGCATCGATCTCATTAAATATCGATAATCAATCATATCGTGTTCTTCTCAACAGTACAGTGTCTATGAATTCTACACTTTACAACTATGGCCGTACTCAACTCCGAATGGTTCTTTGTGTAACCAATACGATGGGTTTTCTATCATCGGATGATATTCAAAACATCAATAATATCGCTGGAATGAATCATCGAAGCGATACAATTGAATTGCCAATAAGAATGCTAAACCAAACAAATTCAAACTTAACCATGATGACAGATTCAGTTTTATTTAGTATTGCTGTACCTGGTTTTGAATATGGTGAGACTGCATCAGTCTACATTCAGCAAACTGAGATTTTGCTCACTAATCAAACTAATTATCAAGTACCATCAAAAGGTAATGATATCAGCAAGCAAAATTTATACCTATTCAATTTGCTTTACTTCTGCGCACAATTTATATCCATAAAACCTTTTGATTTTTCTTGTACCGTAAAGTGCAAGTGTTAGAGACAGACTATTGTCTTAGTTTTCACGCGTTACTTCTTGCTGAATGACTTACCTTTTTAGTTTGATGAAGAAAATATATACACCAAAATATTCTTCAGTTCATCAGACTATTTTCAATCGTCTTCTGTGAATTTAATCATAAATATTTTTGTTCTTTTTCAACAACGTATTGGTTTAGCATCAGTAATCCTACCTTTTGTCCATACATCTATCGAATAACTTCAAAGAAATAACGTTTTTATTGAAATAATCAGTTTTATTACCATGATTTACTCATCCGACTAAAATACAAAGATACGTCAAAAACACAGATACACATACAGTCACATTTTTCCTAATCGGTGATGTTGTTCGAGAATAATGTGGTCGGATCAAGATTTTCATTTTTCGAAAGATAAATTGAATTTCTTCTGTGTATCGTATAAATATTGCCTGTTTTTATGTTTTGTCGTTTGCTTCTTCTTAGATTCATGCCATATGGGCGATTCTTGTAGTGAAATGATATTTGAAATGTGACTGTCAGATAAGGACAGTGACATCATCGAAAGAAACAGTGTTATGTCGACCATTGTGCGAACTGTATTTTTGACAATACTTCAGTAAAGTCCAAGAGATACTGAAAACAGTATTCGTTAAATAGAAACAATCCTTTTCATTCCTGATTCCATGGTGCCATCGATAAGATCCACCGACTCCACAGAAAATTAGACGAAGACATTAAAGAAAACACATGTAGAGAATCCTTGTAACGCCTTGAGAACTAATAACCTCTTCAATAGTTAAACCTAGTGGTGCCTGTTCGTAGCTGATATGCAAATACGTCGAGCTTTCATACCATGCTTTAAACCATGAGTGTGAAAACACTATTTCGTGTTCATAAAAGTCTTATCTATACACAGTTACTAGATCAGTCGCTAGAACCCCATAATTGTAAGGTTTAAGCATTTTGATCTGGTTGCTTACAAGTGCTTGGGTAGTGGGAAAAAATATCTTGATTTGGTGCTTGACATCATAAAATTTTATCACTGTCTAATGCAAGACATTCTAACGTCAATAATTCTTATGAAACTAGACATTTGAACTCTTGCTGATGTCAATAATCATTTTTATTCATTCCTATCTAGTCTCTTGTTATGGTAGGCTCAAAACTTGCTAGAAACCTGTTTAACAAACACAAAAGATTTTTTTTCTTCTTTTCGATATATATATTTCCTCAATGAAAACTTGTAAGACGAACTATTTAGGAAGCAAGCGTGATTACTAATACAATTTTTCAAAGTTTTTTGATTGTCAACTTCCTCTATGTCCCTCATTCGATACAATGTGGTGTTAGAAAAGTATTAAAATAATCTGCTGACTATTTTGAAATTAGTTATCAGGCTAATAAATCATGGTTCTCCGTTCTATCCGTCATCTTTTGATCATATTTGCTTGCAAGATAATAAACGATCCATCATATTGCTGTAAATTTCTTATCCTTTTTTGTGTCGAGTTGACTTACCTAACTGAGATATATTTTTGGTCATCTAAATTCGTCAATATGCTTGAGTTTCTACTCACTTTCGGCAAAAATTTCTATCCCACAACAACTCTTTCAAAATGCCATCTCAACTTTCAACTATGCTTGCTTTTCAGTTTTTTTGTTTTCAACAATGCATATTGATGCTAACTTCTTGTTTTAGCTCATCCTTAATTACTTCAAAGTACCAAAATTAGTCCTATTATCATAATAGTTATACAAATATTGATAAGAGGTGATCTGAAAAAACTATTGAAGAAAAATGTTGAACGACACTATCCCTAGTCGAGAATCCCTAAACGACTCCCTGGAAAGTCCCACACTCACCCTCGGTCCCTGGTGGAATCCCTATCATGATTCCCCAGGGACTTCGAGGGGATTTTATAATGAGATTTTACTAGAGATGGATATTATGATAAGAACGCCGTGTTCGATCGTTTGCAGTCGTCGTAAGTCTCATGATATATTTCTGAGAAGTTCCTGGCTAATCCCCAGGAACTCCCACATCAATCCCTGGGGACTTTCAGACTCCCTCGTAAATCCATAGAGAACCCCTGTTGGGATTTCCCAGGGGATTTTGACAGGTACTCTCCAGAAATTCGTTTAGGGATTCTCGACTAGGGACGTTCCATAAAATCCGAACATTTTTTTCTTCGAGAATCATCCCACGTCGAACAAGCACGGTCGTAAACGATCGTATACGAAAAAATACGACCAAATATATGGCTCAGTATTACGACCGTAAATCTCCGTGTCGTATACGGAGAAAAATACCGTCATTTACGGTTTTCGTATATGCAGTCCGTAATCGTCGACCTGGGATCTTAAAAACACTGTTATAATCTTTCGTAGACGGTATGTCAAATAAATTGGTGAAAGAGGCCGAATTAATTGATTTACTCAATATCTCTCAGTGTAATGATGATCCAACAAGAGCTGCCAGCAGTCCACGGTAAAAGTTACAAAGTAGTCTGAAGCCTGGCCTTTCGATAAAAACCCAGGCCAATTGCTGTTGCTAATTTTACTAATACGTTTAATTCTAGAACTCTGCATTACTGTATCGTTCTAACTAGTTTCATTTGTTCACTTAATTTATTTCCATAAAAATAAGATAAGAGCAAACTCTTGCACTAAATAGTCAATTAGAAGACGCGAGACAATGGCAAAGCGCGGTGGCAGAACAATAACATGTTTGTTTCTCAAGAATTAGTATGATGCTCGAGCCGCCTCTCCCATCGCACCATGTTGATACAATACCGTTTTGCTTTACACGTCTCAAGCAACTTGTTAGGTGATGATTCATAAATTATTCTTTTTACACCAATATGATTTGAAGCTGCAAATCGTTCTCATGAAGAATGTTTTCTTTGCTCACTGTTTTATGTGCTTTACGGTTGTGTTTTGCTTTAATTGCTTTCGCTCTTTACAAGTTACTTGTAATCAACACCATTTCCCTTCAGAAGGTCTCATGAATAGACGGTTAAATAAACCGAAAATAAATGAAGCGAAGAGACCATGTAACATTTTTTTTCATACAAGAAAAGCTTGAATGAATACAATGTATTTTCTCATATCAGCTGTGTTTCATACAATTGAAAAAACGCAATCATTATAACATAAATAATGCTTGATTAGGTTTACAAGGAAGAGATAAAAGAAGACATCACAACGAAAATGCACGAAATAAGCAATACACATAATAACAGACACGGACTTTTACGTTTGGAAACCAATTTTCTCAGCGGTGTGAGCGCAGAATTTACCTTCCAATCGTTTTGAATCAAAACTAATTCTTCGGTCAGCTCATCTAATTCATATAACACTGAATTGACGCTAGGCTGAAGCATTCGTTGCTGGATTCGATGAATTTCTCAAAGTATTATCGAATAGTAAGACGATGCGCCAACTTTTGATTTTCAAAATGTAACAGCTATCTCGAAAATTTTGGTCTGCTCTAAAAGACGTCTATCAGGCAGCAGGCCAGCTTGACATCTCGGATTCAAAGAACATGAGTTGATCAGAGAAACCTTTTAGAGTCTTCAAAAATTCAATCTTTGCTTGATCAAAACTCAGTTCTTCAATCGTAGAGAAATGTTTGTTCTCAATTATGTTGGAATGTTATGGATATAAGATGACGGTGTTAGCGAAGAAGAATTTTCTTTTCGCCTACATCTCTCACTCACATCCTTTTGATAACTAGTTCATAGTCTGTCAACCATCAGATATACGGATCGTTTTTTCTCATTTATCTTCAACTAACCGATAAGAAAGTTATCAAAAAAAATAGAAAACTTAAATATACGAAAATTCGAATCCCTTCTCGACAGTCAAATAGTTATTACCTTAGGAATGTATAATATTAACAGAATCTTGCGTACAGAATTGTGATTCTTCCTTATAAACAAAAAAATCATGCATCTATTTAGAAAACTTCATGTTATTGTTAATGAAACTTTTCTTAATTTTCTAGATTTCATGACTTATCGTCATGCAACCAATACTTCAAATAACATCAGAATGAAACTGATGAAATAATATTCGAAAATTACAAAAGGTGTATTTTTAGTTAGTTCTCAAAAGCTAGAAGTATCACTTAAAACGACATGCTACGTGTTTTTTTTTAAGATGAAGAAAATTCTCAATTCTAGTTATCAAAGTTCAACTATGTAGGTTAACGTATTAAATGCTAAAATAATAAGAATAAAGTAGATTAAACGCTCTTATGAGGATAGAAAATTGTTTTCATGTCTGCAATTGAGAATTCATATTCGCAGTTAGAAGGTAAACATTATATAGATTTATGTACAACATAATGTATTTCATTTCTATTAAATTTTCACATGACGTTTTCTTAACTGGTCTTCCGAGCATCAAGATATCAATGTCCATTTTAGAGTAAGAAATCGATGACTAAGATCCAACTCTGTATTTTCAGAAAATTCAAAGAGTAGAGACAGTAGTTTAACTTCTTGAGCTATAGCTTTTGTGAGTAAACAAGTGTACAACACTTTACTTTCAACCTATGTTTCGACGAACTATTTATCTAACTGAAACAATTGAAGAAAGTATGCTCTGCACTGATCGAATCGTTTATGAAAAATATTCCTTCTATTCATTGCTACAAATGATACCAAATGTAAATATTATCATAGTAAGCGGCATAACAAGGCAGTACGAAATGTGTTGAAAAACAACAGTATAGCATAAATATCACTCATATATGTATTTCAGTAGTCATATACATTTGTTTATCACCGACATCTTTTTATTCTTTATTCATGATTGGTCCACTACTCTCAAATGTCTCTGGTTTTTTCTTCTTCGTGACTTACTCTTTGAAACAAAAACTTCATGGATAATCAGTAGACTTGATCATTTTACGATTATTATTCAACAAAAATTAATTTCTCTACATTTTTACTAGTCTCATATGGATTTAAATGTGCCTAATGGCAATGTACACTATCGTGGAATGCATCATCAACATGATGAAGTACGTCTTATTGACTATGTACGTTTATGCGAATATTTATCTGCACGTAAAATAATTCTTCTTCAATTATTTCGTACTGTTTTACGTCGGCTAGTAAATATAAACTCAATAAGAAATCTTAATAATACTAATATCTATTTATAAATTAATAGAATCAACGATATTCGCCTTTAAAAGAAGAAGAAACAACACGAAACACATCACCTGAATTTAGTTATACAGAAGATGTCCTTCTTCCATCATTACTATTATTTCTCACACGAGTAAGATATCAAAATATAAGAACTATATTAAAAATCTATTTTATTGAATAGAATTTTGAATGGGAATTACCAAATCTTGTTCAACATTTAGTAAAAATATATCCTGATAATGATATTGTTACTGAATATTCTCAAAGGTAAAATGATTTTTCCTAATTTTGTTTTTTTTTTTTTTAAATTTAATTATAAAATTTTTAGTATTGCTAAATTAGCACAAGCAACCTTAGTTGATATAATTGAT